GCGGCGTGTCGGTGCGTTCCCATCCTCCTCCACTAAGAACCCTTGGCTGTGAATCTGGGGTAGGAGGAAAGCAAATAAAGTCCATGCACAGCAACACCAATGTTCTTGTTCATGTCAGCTTATTCCTTTCATTCACCAAAGTCTTATCCTGGGACCAGGACCTGATGTCTCAGAAGGAATCCAAAATGATGGGTTATGCAGAACTTCATATGGAACAGGCCATTTCCTTCCTGACCCTACAGCTGTTAGCCTGGATAAAGTTTGACTACTCACTGTTTTAGTCATACATATAAAAGATGGTCTTAAGAGTTCTCCAGTTAGTTTTGGAATCCAATTACTTCCCAGAGCACGATTTCCAGAGTTATCTACACCTCTCTACAAGCCAGCTTCCTCTGATCTGTTTTGAATTCACCTACCCTTGACAGACTGCCAAAACTCTATTTCTCTTGGTGTCTCACAGGAAAAGACACCACACAAAATACTACTCCACTGAAGTGGACCGTTATCTCTGTGGGTCCAACTTGATCTCAGGGTTTGGCCAAAATGCATCTCCAGTTCAGTAAGGTCTCACTTCCTTTGCAGCCAAATCACGTATTGCACTATCTGAAACTCTATCCCAAGTTAGGGGACGCCATGCAACAGAAAACACGAGCTCCGAAGTCATCTCTGATCAATTATTGTCTCCTTGTTATCCAAAATCTTCAACAAAGAGGAGCTCTTCCTCACTTATACAGAAAATAAACATGAAATGCTGATCTGCAGGTGGGGACTTACAGGAAAACAACCCTCTGCAGGAATCAAAAATACAGCATAGGGTCAATTCTACCACTCTACCCATACAAATGATTCCTGCCTATGAAAACACTGGATGGGAATGCTGAAGCCAGAGCTGTAGGGGAATAATAAGTGAACATAGCTAACCCAATTGTTTTTAAAGTAATTTAATTTGTGGGCATATGCACGTTTGCCAATGGTTGTGAAGATCCCTTTAAAAATTCCACATTAAGACTACCGCATGCCATATATGAACTTGCTTCCCCTCCCCAGACTTTCATGGACCCCTTAGAAGAAATGGCCTGAGTCACCTTGGGTGGAAACTACTGCCAACATGCATGAGGACAGAACTAATTCCACTGTTTCCAAAAGGGCAGCTTTAAAGAAAGCTCCCTTTGTTAGAGAGCTGGCTGTATGGACTGGTAGCAGCCCTGTGAAAGTGCAGAGTTCAAATCTTGGGCTCTCTGCCTTTCACTGTCCCGACAGGAGACTGCATAGGAGCAGGCTGGGAACTATTCAACCCAAATGAATACAAGAATCTTCTTGGGATTTCTTCTTTCCCAGAAGAAATCTTCTGGGAACACAAGAATTACTTCACTAACCTTGCAAAAAGCACAGTTCAGTGCAGCTACCTCCACAGCAACTCTGAGAGTGACAAAACCTCCCTCTGTGTCGGCTACTTTCAAGTACTTCCCAGAACGTCTCTACTCCATACTCATGCTTCCCAGCCTGGGTGATGGGCAGGACACACCAAGACGGACAAGGCAGCCTGTGCTTGCACAGGTACAAAAATTCAAGGGCAAAAGCACTTAGGAAGCTTCCTCCATTGCTCATGGGTAGAATGCAAGGAAGGATTCTTGCATCCCGATAGTCCCTCCAGATAAAGTACCACATTTTCCACCACTTCGTCAGGATTCTGGTTTCCTAAGCTGGAAAACCACTGCAGATGCAGAGGCACTTGCCATCAGGCCCAGCAGTGCTCTGTGCCGATTCCGTAGCATTAACTGACTGTGGGTGAGGGCAGCCTGGGCTTTCCTGAAGCAGAGGAGAAAGTCCGTCAGCGGTACTTACGACCTGGACAGCCTGCGGACACCGCGCGTACAGCACAAACATGTGGGCGTAAAGGACTTCCCCAGAGTCCACCTGGAACTGGACATCACTGAAGTGGGGGTTGTTGACCATTGCACCGAAATCTTCAGCCAGCAACTTGAGAGAGGACTGGAACACAGAAGGAACACAAAGACAGAATTCAGTTACAGCTGCCGGATATTTCCCTGAAAAATACGGAGGGAATAACCCAGTTTGTCAGCGTTGCTGTACTGTGGGTGCCAGTCTGGATGAACTGCCTTTGCCTTCTGAAGCTAATCATCAGCATTATCCACTTAAGATCTTCCACAGGACAAATAAGCAGAACAGACATTTCTGGCTTTGTTTTCCTCCAATTTTTCACAGTCTGGCAATTGTGAGGAAAGGGCAGTCGTGTTGTATTCTACTGTACTTGTTCTGCCTTGTGTTACAGCACATTATCACCCTCAGATCTTCACCACACCATTTCCTGATGTGGTCTAGCCACTGCCTACAGCTGGCCCCTCGATCTGCTGCCTTCCACCACATTTTTAGGAAACTGTAATTTCCGTTTTGACGGACCTGAACTCAATTCACTATAATTAGAGTAAGAGGAAAGAGGATGACGCAGGGATGGGGTAATGAGCCTTTCTTCTCTCGTTCACTGTCTGGCAATGACAGCTGAGAAGAGCAGCTCTGCAACAACGAGCCCACGTAGAATAAAACTAATGTAGGTGTCTGGTTCAAAGGAATTTATGCGCACGTTACTAAAACTCCTTTTGAAATTTCCACTCAATTATAAAAGAGAAACATAATTTCTATTATCGTTCTAGGACTTCTTGATGGAATTTTAGGGAGGGCTGGCTGACTGAGCTACCTGTGACTGGTTACTGGTGATGGTAAGGTCAGCCCAGGGGTACGCTGCCAAAGGCAGTGGTGATGAACGCTCTGTTTCTGCTCTGGAGCTGCTCCCAGTACAAACCTACCTCAGGCAATCTGCTAAAGACTCAGATCCCTCTAGGCAAGTGTTGTGCTTCTGGAGGTGGCCAGTGCTTCAGAGAAAGGTGAAAAACCCTCAGCTCACAGCTGAGAGGCTGTCTGACTGTAAGTGGAAACTGGTTTACAGTTAACGCACTAATCATTGACCTTGTGCTTTTCAAACCTACTGCAGAGTTGAGGAACCGCAAGTTTTATTTCAGTGAACATCTGCATGAGATGCAGTTCCACCTGGAACAACACAGCTCTTTATTTTATTAGCAGGTTTCTACATTAGCTCAGTGGACTGTGGAAACCCAACCTTTCTACTTGCTCCAGCACGTGTTTGCAGGCAGCCAACGCTAATTAACACCAAAACAGCAGCACACACCAGAACGCTTCTTCCAGGCCTTCATAGGTGGGCTAGAGAAGCCTCTGCGTGTCATGGCAGTGGTGTGGACTGATCTCCAAGGGGAAGACAGGAAGCTTAGTCTGGAAACTAATCTGATGTTTCTTGCTTTCTTATTCTTGGCAGGTAGGATACCTGCAAGACAGTACCTCAGGAAGCCAGCAAACACAGACTCCTGATGCTATGTTCCAGG